TCAGGTTTGTAATGGCTAAGTGGTAGAAAAGGCTGAAAGTTGTGTCCACAGTGGAACAAAATTGTTGATATACAACTCAATTTCTGGGTTTTTACATATCTAACACCTAGACTTCAGTTTTTACATACATGCTACCACTCCGAAGGCATTGTAACTATAAATATCAATTTCTTTCTCTTATTTTATAATAAGAGACTCATTACTTTCTGGTTTTTCTTTCGTAATAAGTGAACAATTTCATTTATTGTGAATCTAATTTGGCTCACGAGGATGCTTTGGATTGCCATATTTCCCCTGCCCAGTTTTTCTTTCTTATTTTAGAGTCTGGAGGCTGTTACTTATCAGGCACATGCTGATGCATACAAAAATAAATGTTTAGGTGTTTGATATCTATATACAGATTTGTTACAATATTAGTTGCTTCATTTCCATTCCTTTTTACGTATTTTTTTTTCTCACATTATTATGTGCTAATCATTAATTTACAGGATCACTATATCAAAAATGAGCTCAAGCAGCTTGAGAAGCTCCAATGGGACCAAACATCGACTAGTATTTTGTGATTGCAACCTATTATGCGTTGTATTCAAGACACAAAAAAAAGCTAATGTTGGCCGAAAGTTTTATAGATATCCCAAAAATTTAACGAATAGAGATTGCAATTTTTTTCAATGGATTAATGAACCAAGGGATGCACTACAAAAGCGAGGTGGTGAAAAGATAAATGCATTTGATGATACAGTGGAAAAATGATCTCAAAAACTTGGTATTTCTTGTGAATATCTTGCTTTTGTTTGGTTTTATAATTGTAACATTGTTTTTATTGTTGTTAATGTTGTATCTGTTTTGTTGATGTTTATGCATTTTGGAGGACAAACTGTACTACTATAGGTTTTTTTTTGTAAGCAAACTTATCTTTTTTGGTGGAGACGTAGCTTATGTTGATCTTATGTTTGTATGAATATTTTGAGGCCATAAAATTTGGTTAGTGTTTCTCCTTAAATTCATTTATGGTGTTATGAGTGATAATAACTTGATAAATTAACATTAGATTTATTCCTTATGCAGCACTTTCAAAACTGTGATTTTTAAACAGAACTGTGCTTTTCAAAAAAAAACTGTGTTTACATACTGATGAGTATTACAATCATTAGTCAACAGACTGCACTTTCAGAATTGTGTTCTTCAAGCAGACCAGTTGCTTCTGACACACTGACTTCTGAACAGCAAATTTTCAACAGCAGTTTTTCAACAAAGCTTTTCTATAGCCACGCCCGAAACAAACACACCCTTAGTTGTGTTTGTTTGGTTTGTTGTTGCATTTCCTTGGCAAGTGTGTGTGGTTGTAACCAACCATTTCCATTTTCAGTAAAAATATTTGTGTTTCTATTACTGTTTGAGTTAACTCTGGTATCATTTGATGTCAAAGCTAATCTAACTCTAGTCTTATCTGAGGATTTCTAGCATCCATCCATACCAAACCCTATTTCCACCACAAAATTTTTCTTTCCCACCTTACAGAGCCTATTCAATCTACCCAAACCCTAACCTCGCGACCGAAGAGACAATTATTGGGCACCTAATCAGAGGGAAATATCACTGTCATTTATGAGAAACTCACAAAAAGATGTCCAAGAACCTTTTAGGGAAGATATGCAGCAGAAAATCCTCCAACTGCAATTGAGGCTTGTCGCTTTCAAAAGGAGGTAATCCAGCGAGTCACTCGTAGCAACAACAGTGACTTGTTAGATCGAAGGAATATAGTGAATATCTTCCACCATGTGGATTCTAGTGATGAAGAACCTCAACCTCGTAGATTTGACCTGAAATATCTGAGAAGCTGATAATTTGAAGGGTATATTTACCATGTTTTAACGGTCACTAAGGTCCGAATGAGTTCATTGAGTGACTCCAAACTGTGAAATTTTACTTTGAATACCAGGACATTGCACCAAAAAGAATAGTGAAAATAGTTGTCAGCAAGTTAAGGAAAAATGAATTGTTTTGGTGAAAATTTATGAAGCACTACGCCAGCAAGAAAGAAAAGGGTCACTATCTAGTCTAAGATGAAATGGAGATGCAGTGTTAGTACCTATCAGTTCATTATGAACAGAATCTGCATATCATAGCGTCAAAAGTGGAGAGACAACAACACCGGATGACCGTCATACCTTCCCCAAGATCAAACAACAAAAGTACACCAAGGGGACCAACCAAGCTACCGCCTGAGGAGAAATTGATTCAAAGTACTAAAAACGTGGAACCAATCCGCATTCCGAAATCAATTCCAGCAAAAAAATACGTCAAGTGCCGCAAATTTGGACAAATTTAATCAGACTGTACAACCACTAATCAGGGGACATTTGAAGAAGTAAACAGTGATTCAAAAGAATATAAAGATTTCAAAGAGGAATCTCAAATTCCAGCTGAAGAGGAAGGGGCACCAACTATTCGAATTGGCCTCAAGAGAGCGACTGCAGTTGAATTTGCAGCAGTTGTTTTAGAAGGTAGTGAGTCTGAGGTAATTGACATTTATACAGAGTATAAGGTTTTGGTGCCTCAAACAACATTTTTTGCGGGAGTTGAGAGCAACAGTCGGACTAGCATTGGATGTCCAAAAGGACCACGAGGAATTGGTACAAAGGGAGATCCAGCATTCAGAGATGATAAAATTTTGAGCTTCTTTTGGAAGACAATAGGAAATCGTTTGGATATTAAAGTCAATTCAGCAGTGTCCCAATTGACAGATAATCAAACAGAATAGATGAACCACGGCGTTGAAAATCACCTTAGGATCTTCGGAGAAAGGAAAATCCTATAGTGGGCTACAAGTCTTTTTAGGGAAGAAGAAGAGGCTCCTACTGAGTGGTTATACTTCAGTGTGGCCCAAACTGCCCTAAATATTGTTCCAGAGTTGATTCCTCCTGACATACTTATTTATTAGATGCATACAGTCGAGTACGACAAATAAAAGAAGCAGATAATAGATTTACTTGCTTGGGATTTGATTCGTGAGAATCTACGTTGATATGCAACTCTAGCTCATGTTGTGCCCAAGAATGGATGAACAGTTATTCTATCAGAATGTACTTTGGAATGTCAACGTCTATTGGCTTAACTTATAGAGCACTTGCAACATATCAGTTATCTTGAGGTCGAAGCTCCCCCAACCCTGGAAGACTGACGTGGATATTGTCCCCCTACTATAGTATCACGAATGGAACTTCCCGAAGAGACGTTTCTGCGATATCTACTACAATACTGTGAATTCCTGCAGGACGAGTGCGGTAGATTGACACTTTACATGGTTTTACCTCCTAATTGGAGTGGGGTCTACTAATATCTACCCTAAGTCTATAAATTTGTTATTATTCGTATTTACAGGGCAATTTTGGATTTTGTATGTCAGGATAGTCGTCGGTGTTCAGATTTCCTCTTCTAGGGTTGTATCCAAAGAAAGGTGGTGCTCCAATTATAGCTCATCTGAGGTGATCAGCTCCTTCCAAGGGATCGAGTGATGTCTGACTAAGTCGTTCTCACGAAATTTAATCTTTGACTTTTCCATCCGCTGTATTCCTCACTTCGCTATCGTCGCCGCCTTTCCTTCTCTGTCAGAACCACCAAACAATAACCATGTTGTCATCCTACAACTCCAACCACTAGCCACCACCACCACCTGTTGTCATCCCTTCCAGCAACCTCCCACCTCGCTACCATCCATTCCGACCGCCCATCTTCACTGTCCAACTATCCCCCTCACTACCGCAGCCCAGGGACACCCCTCCTTTTGTTGTCCTGTAGTCCCACGCATTCCCCGTTGTTGTCGTCGCCATTCCCACTAGCAGTCGCCGCCCTGGATATTTGTTGTTGTTCCAGCCCTCCAACCAGCCCGTGCTTGCTATCTTTCAGCCAACCAAGCACCACCTTTCCCCATTGCAGTCCCTTGTAACTTCCCCTTCCTCCTACAGCCATCCATCACCTCGTCACCTTCCTCCTGTAGTTCAATCATCAAACCAACCACCACATTTGGATACATTTAGTTGTAATTGCTTGTTTGTTGTTGTATTTCCTTGTGAAGTGTGTGCGGTTATAACCGACTATTGCCCTTTTCAGTAACAATATTTGTGTTCCTATTGTTGTTTAGGTCAACTACGGTATCAATGGTATTGGCCAATAATTATAACATTGCAACATCAAAAATTGCATTACATGTGATATATTTCATTTTTATATCACTAATCATATGTATTTTATCTTTGAAACAATTTTTCAATTATTTTAACTTCGAGTTATGTCAGCAGACACTACATTAAGAAAATATACCTATAAAACACATTCGCTAAGGTAACAAATTTTTAATATCCTCCACAAGCATCTCCATAACATAAAAAAAATGAGAGATACAAACTTAATATTAATCTTTGAAGTAACCCTAACATTATTCGAGACTATGTGGTTACACCAAAAATACTTGTAATACAAGTAAATCTTTCATCATAAATAACTTCAATAACTTCAGCATACATTTAACAAACTTCTTTGTTTCTCCATACAAATCAATTCTCATGATCAAAAATCATAAGGCTTCTCAAGATAAATTAAAAACATAAGAAGATCCTTTATTTATATTACTTTTTTTCTGGATTGCCTCAGCATAAAAATCGCCTACGCTGTACATCTGTCAGGGACAAAACCAATTTGATTCTCAAACAATGATATAAAACAAGAAACTAGGTAAATGACAAATCCTGTGGGGACCTAAGTTGGTTACAAATTGCATACATATGTTTTCACTTGAATGACAAATTATTGTATATAAAGGCTGGAAGTGTTCCTCTAATAAAAAAACTAAGCACTGCTTTACGCTGGCTAGTTTACTAAGTTCATAATTGGTTCCAAGGAAAAAAACGATGACTTGGGAAGAAATATAAAATACACAAATCCATTTAATTGCTAGCCAGAGCCACAAAAAAAAGGACCACTTCTTCATTAGAAATTACCTTGGAGAGCTATCTCGCCAACATACAGGCAGCAACGGGTCTGAGCTATCTGGTATGAGACCATAAGAGTGATAATCTAACTGCCAAACTAAAGAACTTCAGCATTAAACTCAAAATTAAAAGACAATGTAAAATGTGAAATGGATTATCGAAAAACATACGGAGTTAATAAGATTGGAATATATTTCATGCGGAAAGAACGAGTAAGTGCTGCCTGAGTCAAAAACTGTAAGATATGCATTCCCACCCTTCTCTCCCACACTGATTTGTTTGCTCCCGTAGACAACTCCCCGAACCTGAGTACCATAAAAATTCCTGCAAATACTGCATAGTTAACCCAAAAACACTATAACAATGTAATTATTTGAAGTGAGCATCTATATATAATTCCGGAATTGCCTGTACTCTCACATGGTGAGCAACTTCTAAATATCAAAATAGAATTTAGCTAAACCTACAAAAGATATCCCGTAACAAGTTTAAAATGTAAATTGGCATTTCTAACCATAAATACTCTCATTGTTAAGTGGGAGAATGTTCACTAGTTTATGTGTGCTCATCCTTTATCTCTCTGTGAAAGCTATACTTTCATTTAGAGGTTTGATGGAGAAGTAAAGAGAGAGTAAGGAGGATTTACATATGATTTACATATGATTTTTATCATATGATTTTTATTGATATAGAAAAAGCTTACGATAAGGTTCCAATAGATGTTCTTTGGGTAGTTCTAAAAAGGAAAGATGTTGATATGACTTATATTTAAGTCATTAAAGATATGTATATTAGAGTTGTTGCTTGTGTTTAGGTCCATATTTAAGTCTAAAAAGGATGATTAACCAAGTAATTTTAATAATGATGATTATATTCCATATTTATTATAACTCTATATTTAGAGGGTTATAAATTATATGAGGATCTTAGAAAGCTCTATTTATTTTTTCTATTTAATTAGAGAGAATAACTGTCTATTATATTTATTATTATTTCTTTCCTTACCTACTGTATTCTGTTTTTATTGTTTTTCTTACCAATAAGTCCTGCAATTAGTATTTATACCCCTCTTTGTATCAATAAAAATAAGCCCTCTAATATTTTTTCACTATTTTTTCATGGTATCAGAGACATGTAGGATCTGAATCCTTGGCCCTGTTCGATCTCAGAGATACGTCCACTCGATCCATCTCGTGGAACTGTTCGACGCCCGATGTGATCCTCTCTTGTCGCTCGATCCTTTGTACCGCTTGATGTTCGACGCCCTGTACCTCTCGATCGAGTGTCTGCTTCGCTTGTCTGTTCGACGCCCTGTACCGCTCGATCGCGTGTATGTTCGACACTCTGTACCGCTCGGTAATTCTACCGAAGGCGGTAATTTTTCTTCGGCGGGCTCGAGTAAATTCACGTCCTCCATCTTTAAAATGTCTGAAGTCACGTTGAGGACAAACCAGTCTCTTCAGTCATCTCAGTCCGAACCTCAAAGAAATACCTCTGAAAATCACCCCATTTAAATCACTACAATCTGACTAAATTATGATAATTTTCTTCGATGGTCACAATCTATTCGCATGTATCTCCGAGGAAGAGGAAAGATTGGTTATATCATAGGTGATAATAAACAGTTTGACGTAAATAACATAACTTATATCATTTGGGATGCAAAAAACTCAATGGTAATAACATGGTTGGTCAATTCTATGACTAAAGAGATAAGTGTAGATTATCTGTGTTACTCTACAGCCAGGGAATTATGGGACAATGTTACAGAAATGTACTCTGATCTTGAAAATCAATCTCAAGTGTATGAGTTGGCCTTACGACTGGGGGAAATTTGCCAAGGTGAGAATTCTGTGACAAAATATTTCAATTCTCTTAAGCGAATTTGGCAGGACCTGAACTTATTCAACGATCATGAATGGAAATCAAGTGATAAAGACAACCAGTACAAGAAGAAGGTGGATATTGGTCGAATCTTTAAATTTCTTGCAGGTCTAAACATTAAATATGATGAGGTCCGTGGCCGAATAATTGGAAGAAATCTCCTGCCTCCAATTGGTGAAGTTTTTGCGGTGGTAAGGAGAGAAGAGAGTTGGAGACATGTGATGTTGGGAAAAAAGACTGCAGGCTCAACCGAATCCGTGGAAGGATCGGCGCTGGCAATTCCTGAAGCTAAAGTAAGCAGGAAAACTTCTCACAACCAGCATGTAGAAGACAAAAACAACCTGCACTGTGACTACTGTGGAAAGTCACGTCATACTCTCGAAAAATGCTGGAAATTGCATGGTAAACCACCTAATTGTAAGGGAAAAAAATCTGGTGAACATAGCCGCAAATGAGATTGAGTCATCTCCACTTAGTAAAGAGCAATTAAGTCATCTTCTTAAACTGTTGAAATCTTGTTCATCATCTAATGCGCCTATTGGTTCTATAGCACAAGCAGGTAGTAATCCTTTGGCCTTTTTAGGAAGTACCACTCCTTGAATCATTGATTCAGGAGCCTCTGATCATATGACAAATTGTTCTCGATTATTTGATTCATATTATCCATGTTCCGGTTCCGAAAAAATCAGAATTGTTGATGACAGTTTTTCACCTATTGCAGGAAAAGAAAATATTAAAATTTCAGAAAAAAATTTCTTTGAAATCTGTTTTACATGTTCCAAAACTTACATGTAATCTTCTTTCTGTACGCAAATTGTCTAAAGATTCTGATTATTCCATTTTTTTCTCTCCTTCCAATTATGTTTTTCAGGTCCGGAACTCGGGGAAGATGATAGAAACTGCTAGAGAAATAAATTGGTTGTACTACTATGATGGAACCAATTCTGCGAATAAAACAACTCATGGATTAGGTAGTACTATTTCAAGCTTCGACTATGATCAAGTTATGTTATGGCATAAAATATTAGGGTCTAGCTTTCCACATCTCAAATTTTTATTTCTTAAACTATTTAAAAGTATTGATTGTTCAAAACTTCATTGTGAAGCATGCAATTTATCTAAAAGTCATCGCGTTTCGTTTCCAATAAAACCATATTATGTTTCAAAACCATTTTATTTAGTGCATAGTGATGTTTGGGGCTCATTCAAAGTTAACACACTTTCTGGAAAAACATAGTTTGTAACATTTATTGATGATCACACACGAGTTTGTTGGATGTTTTTATTGGAAAAGAAGTCTTGAACAATGATTCAAAGATTTTTTTCACATGATTAAAAATCAATTTCAAACAAAAATTTTTATTCTAAAAACGGATAATGAGACTGAATATTTCAACAAATATTTGAGAACATTTATTTTGGAAAAAAGTATTCTGCATCAATCCACTTGTCGTGACACACCACAACAAAATAGTATTGCAGAAAGAAAAAATAAGCATTTACTCGAAGTTACCAGGGCACTTATGTTTTCCATGATTATCCCTAAATATCTTTGGGAATGCACTCCTCACCTCCTGTTATTTAATAAACATAATGTCATCTCGAGTTCTGAAATTTAAACTACATTTACAAGTCTTAAAAAATTGTTTTTCCACGTCTAAGATAACAACTAATCTCTCTTTAAACTTCTATGGATGTGTTTGCTATGTGCATATCCCAAATGTATTTCGCTCAAAACTTGATCCCAAAGCTGAAAAATGTGTTTTTATTGGATATGTTTCCAATAAAGGTTGGTACAAATGCATTAATCCTGAAAAAAAGAAATTTTTTGAGAGCATGGATGTCAAGTTTATTGAGGATCACCCGTTTTTTCAAAATATTTTTCTTCAGGGGGAGAACTTAGTTGAAGAAAATAATTTTTGAAAAACTTTACTCATTTCTTTAACTAATTATGATATGAAAACTAGAGTCGGCACTACTAATTCTATTTTGTCAGATTATACCTTATCAGTGATAGGGGGAGTAGTACTTCCAACGGATCATAATCCTCAACATGAGCTGTAGGTTTATACTAGGAAGAAATTTCATAAAGTTACTATAGCCCCAATTATTCCATCAGCAAATGTTCAATCACCTTTGCTGAATAATGGCCCTACAGCTCAGAGTAACATTCTCTCTACTTTCACTCCTTCAGATCTTGATCTTCCAATTGCTTTCAGAAAAGGAATCCGAACAAGCAAGAAACATCCTATCACACAATACTTGTCATATGAAAAACTATCAAAAAATCATAGAGCATTTGTGTATAGGATTTCTGGCATACTTGTTCCAAGAACTGTTCAGGAAGCATTAGGTGAACCGAGTTGGAAATTAGTTGTGATGGAAGAAATAAATGCTCTTAAAAGAAATAACACAGACAGTTATTGATCTACCTAAAGACAAGAAAACGGTTTGGTGTAAATGGGTGTTCACGGTGAAGTTTAAAGCTGATGTAAGTGTAGAGAGATACAAAGCGAGACTAGTAGCAAAAGGAATTACTCAAACTCATGGTATTGATTACCAAGAGACTTTTGCTCCTGTTGTTAAAATTAACTCTATTACAGTACTTCTTTCTCTTGCAGTTAACTTCAACTGGTCACTTCATCAATTTGATGTAAAAAATGCATTTTTAAATGGAGAATTGCGAGAAAAAGTATATATGGACCTGCCACCCGAATTTGAAGAAAATTTTGAAAAAGGTAAAGTATGCAAATTAAAAAAGTCCTTGTATGGGTTAATGCAATCTCCTAGAGCTTGGTTTAAACGTTTTGGTGATGTTATCAAGAGACATGGATTCTCTCAAAGCTAAGCTAATCACACTCTATTTTTTAAACATTCCATCAAAGGTAAAGTAGTCATTGTGATTGTGTATGTAGATGACATAATCATGATAGGGGATGATCCTCTGGAGATTTGCAACCTGAACAGGAAACTTGAAGCCGAATTTGATATTAAAGACTTGGGAAAGCTGAAATATTTCCTCGAAATGGAGTTTGCAAGATCCAAGGAGGGAATTTTTGTCAATCAAAGCAAGTATGTACTTGATTTACTCAAAGAAACAAGAATGACTGGTTGCAAGGCAGCAGATGCGTCAATAGGACCTAATATAAAATTGAAAACAGCAGCAACTAATGAGGTAATGGACAAAGAACGTTATCAAAGATTAGTAGGGCAACTAATCTATTTGGCTCACACTCGACCAGACATAGCCTTTGCAATAAATGTTGTGAGTCAATTCATGCATTCACCTTGACCTACTCACTTCGAAGCTGTATTCCAAATTTTAAGATATCTCAAATAAACTCCTGGAAAAGGAATTGTTCAAAAAGGGAGAACATCTTTTAATAGAGACCTACACAGATGCAGATTGGGCAGGAGACGTAAATGATAGAAAATCCACA